TTTACCTGTCCTTTTTGGGGGGAATAAGGAAGTATTTGGAGCGTTGGCGGATAGCTAAAAAGTCTGTGGACCGGAACTGATGATGCCTGGTTTACTCAGCGATCTGGAGGAAGAAGCAGGTTGGAGGACTCCTTCCCCCCCCCCCCCCTTCCCCTCACCTCGAACCCGCCCATCCAACGTGCGATCACCACATGGGCAAGCATGACCATGCACCACGTGCTATCTCCCATTCTCGTTAGTCCCTTTCCAAACCCGTTAGCCGCCGTTTCGCTAGTGCTCCCCATAGGTCCACATGGTCCCCTCTGACGCACCACCCGCCGTACTACTATACAAAGCCTCCATTCCCCCATCCCCCACTTTTTCCTTCGCTGTATCCAAAGGGAAATAAAGAGTCGTCACAACGCGTTTGGAGGATTTACGGGTGGCGGGCCTGACGCTGGATTGGGGGGAGCTGGTGGAGATTGGGAGCGGCCACGGAGAGCAGCACCAGCGTTCGGTGAGAGAAGGGAGGGTTGGCAAAGACAAAATTGGGACTGGTTGTTGATCGGCCCTCCCATGTCGGAGGTACTGTACTTAGGAATTGGTACCGTAAGCAGCTGCGAGGAAGCCTTCAATTTTTTCCCCTGAGCGTGTTTTCGGTCCTAGACGGGGCTGCATGGGGAAGGTAATGTGTAGGTTAGGGCAAGAAAAGTAATTGGTCCAGTCAAAGACGGAGGCATTGTAATCGAGCCGATTCAAGGTACTCGAGGCTCAGAGTTCAGCCGTACTGGTATTATGTAGTACCGTATTTTGGCCGCAGTCATGGTGGAACAGGCCACGGCCGTATGACTGGCCAATTGATGGGATTACACAGCAATGTCTGTTTGACGTGCATTTGCTTTGTCAAACTGCCTGGGGGGGTCGTCTTGGACTTGAGTGGTGCGGATGTGGGTTGCACTCTTATTTGCATGGCATGCAGTGTGCCCAGAGGGGCGGTGTTGGGCGTCTATCGTGGCATCCTGTGGGCGGGAGTTGCTAACTGTCCTCGCCACAAGAGACTAACCGTCCTCGCCCTTCCTATCTAGGTATAGCTAGAGAATTAGTGGCTTAGCAGTGAATGTAACATTTCTTATATATTCTACATCCCTTACCCTACTCTAACCCTTACCCTACTCTAACCCTAGATATTTATGCTTACTTATATATTTTTTCGCGTAAGATACATAGCGCCGAGTACTAATTTGCTAGGCGGTCAAGGTACACTAGTAAGAGTGAGGACGATTAGTCCATTGTGGCGAGGACAATTAGCACTTCCCTCCTGTGGGCTCTTTGGTTGTACCATACTAGACCCGTGCTTACAGGTACTGGTATAGGTTATCGGAGACCCAGCGACCGCAACTTTAAGATAGTAGGTAGCCTTGTCGGTACATATGCATGTAGAATTGGGATCTTCCGACAGTACTAGTGGGCCATAGACGTGTGGGGCGCAGGGACGGCGATCAGGTTCAACTTTTTGGCCTCGGCCGTTCTGTTCTACCATCTTTACTACCGGTAGTATGGGGTTGACGGCAGCCACATTCCATGCCCCACGTTTGCGCTGGTTATGCTTATCCGAGCACAGTGATTCCGAAAGGTTGAACAGTAGAAAATGGTCTTCGCAGATTGGAGGCATTTACCTCGAAGTTTATCAACTATCAGACGATACCCTACATCCGTACCAACATGATGAGGGAAGGCTTTACCCCCGATAAAGAGACCGTTGGCACTAACCAAGTAAGTAGTAACCTAACTCAGCGTTACCAAAATCAGGCTAGCCAGAGGCGTAGAATACCAAGTACCGAAATTCTGCCTAGGCAAGATGACCATGTCAAAGAATAACACCGATGTGCATACTGTGTACATACCTGTATATGCCAAGGCAGCCACTCCAATCTCGCTTGTCAATCTTGGTGCTTGCGAGTCGGGGCTACTACATACTCTCTCTCCCTCCATGGCAATGTCTAAACCCATAACCACCCTGGGAGAATTGACCACCAACGTTTGAGGCTATGCAACGTCGATCACGTTAGCGAAGATCATGGATATGTACGTTCCTATCGTAGCGAAGGTCAAGGTAATGACCATTACCGTACATGATTGGAGAATTGAAGTATTGGTGATATGTAGGTAATATATGTGTAGAGTCATGTGATGATGGACCTAGTGGCGGTCTTACTTGGTGCTTTTATGCCGGACGGCATGTTGAGAAGGGGAAAATTACTGTGTAGGGTTACCGTGGAACTGTCCTGTATGTTGAGTGGCGGCTGCATTAAGGAAACATATGTTGTTGTCTTGGTGTACCTTTTTGGTAGCAATTTGATTTGCTTATTGCCGCTACGTGTGAGAAGTCACTCGTGCCAGTAGTACTGGAAGGCGTAAGCAAAGGTATTGGCATCGAATATTGCAATATACATGGGAAACTCAGTGAACAAACTGAACAGAAATTAGATACTCATAAACTGCTCATGATCAACTATTCATACCCATAGCCTACGATGCTACTTTATGATATGATATACAAAGAAAGATAATCTCACATCACCCCAGCTTACCATTCATATATCCTTCCTAGCATTCTTACTCTTCATCCTAATCTGCCTCCCCCACTTATACAACGCGAACGGAATCGGGATAAAGGCGATTCCCAAAAACGCCAGCGTACTACTCGCCCAATCAATTCCCAGATTCTTATACATTGCGCCCGCGAAAAGCGGAAACCCCGCCCCAAACGCACTCCTCATGAGATCGTTACCCGCCAACACACTGGCCACGGAATCCGGATATGCGTCGCTGAGATACGGGAGCACGGCGTTGAACAGCGAAAAGGAAGCGATGCCAAAGAAACTCGAGCCGATGATGGGGACGATCCAGTGCACGCTTGGGCGGCTCGACCAGCCGAACCAAAATAGGCAGATGGGGACGAAGAAACATCCGACCATGGCAGGAATGAGCCGTTTTTCCGGAACGACGTTGCCATTGTCGTCGAATTGCTTCTCGAGATAAAAGTAGTTCCACGCGAAGATGACGGCGACGGCGACAAAGGTGCCAACTAGGATACCGAGAAAGGCGACGCCTTGCAGGCCGAGATTAAAACCATAAAGCTCGACAAAGACGAGGGGAAAAGACTCGAACCATATGTAGAGCAAACCGTAGATTAGAGCAATATAAAGGTTAAGGAGAAGAACAATGGGTTCGGTGAAGTTGAGGGTTATGGGCTTGACTAAACTCATCATTACGACCTGGTGCTGCATTAGTGCTACACTCGGTGTGGAATGAGGGTCGTGTCTGAGAGATGGGCGGTCAACTTACGTCCTTGGTACTCATTTCGGCAGATATCATATCCGGTTCACAAGTCAATTTGTCGTTGCCGCTTAGATTTTTCAGCCTCTTAGTCCTACGATGCAGGATATTTGGTGAACTCGTCTCAGGTAAGAGGAAAAATAAAACGACCCACGTGGAACCTGAGAGCCACATGAGCTCCCAAATAGTCCACGTCCAGCCCTTTGACATGACAGCAACTACATCCTGTCAGCTGAAGGCCAAACGGAGGGAAATTCGATGATGGGAAACTTACAGCCACCTACGAGCGGACCTAACACGGGACCACAGACTGCACCAATTCCCCAGATAGCAAGGCCATAGGCCTGTTTTTTGGGTCGATACATGTCAGCAATGGTAGCACCACCCGTCGCGAGCGCCGGAGATCCAACAAACCCAGTCAGGAAGCGAAACGCCAACATCATGCCGAAGTTGCTCGCATAAATGACAGGGAACTGGAGAAACACAAAGGCAACTACACAGCGCAAATTAGTCTCCAACTTCTTCCTCGGTCCTTGTTATATAAGCGGTGGGACAACTCACAAAGTGTTCCAATGTACACCCACAATCGCCCGATTTGCGGCACCTCACTCATGGGAGACCATATCAGAGGCCCGAGCCCATAGCCGGCAACGTAAAGCGTCAAGCCCAATAAAGCAGGGACCTGAGCTACGCCGAATTTTATCATGACGTCTTGCAGACCGGCCGTGTATATCGCGCTGCCAATATAGACAGAGAAAGTGAGGAGGACGATCTCAGCGGTAACGAAGTACTTTTTCCCACGGCTCCAGTTCCTCGGGTTCTACGTTTTGGTGAGCATGCAATCGTTATAACACCGAGTGTCTCTGGTGGGGGTTTTCTGGTGGGGGTCTTCAGATCAACCATACCTGCGGATCATTGTCACCATACCAATCAATGACATGAACATCCTTGCCCTTCTCAGCATCCACGCGCACACCACTAGCTTCATTGAACCCCTCTGCAATCTGTGTATGCGACGATGACTCTGAATTCATTCCTTCCTCGCGCGCACGCAGTCCACGCGCTTGATTCAACTCGTCAACCTCTTCCTTGGGAGCCTCGGTGCTTCCATGATACGCCGCGTGCCCCGATTTCTTCTCATTGAGATACTTTTTCCAAAGTTCTGGGTCCTTCTCTTCATCGTAGGGGAATAATTTGCCTCGAGAGACAAGGCGGACTACATGGCCGAATGCCGAGTCGCGGATGAGGTCTGCGACCATGGTATGCGTTCTCCTATATCGGAAGGATGCAGAAAAAAAAGTCAAAGAGCGAGAAAGATGGCTGAGATTCTTTTTTTTCAAAGAGGTTAAAAAGATTTAAAACACCAAAGGAATTGACAAGACCTTTTGTACTTCTCTTCCACGCACGGAGTATGTCGCGAAACGTGTCCCCTAGGTAGTCCCGTAAGGTGTCACCTAGTTAAGCAAGAAGCAGAAAAGCTCAAATATAAATCTCCCGATCTTACCCCAAAGCCTGACATCATTACATTTTGACAACCCGTTTAGTCCATGGTCGATAGCCTAGGCCTCAGGCAGCGCGTAGCCCAGGGTCAATGCTCAGCGCATGCTCCAACGCCGACAAATATGCCATACCTACCATCCCATGAGCCGGGTTTACGTAACTACGGCTATCCAAAGTAATCTCAATGAGCAACACCTTTTGCTGCGGCGAAGCTGCAGAGCGACAGAGCGACAATGCGATAATGCGACAGATTGAACGCGGTGACGACAGGGCGACAGTGTCTGTTCCTATCTCCAAAAAAAAAGTCCATGACGATGCTCGATCGGCGCTAAGAACGGGAACAAGCCATCATAATTGGGGACCCTGAGCTTGACTGGAGTTCGCAGTCTGATAGTGCGAGTACTTACACATGCAGCGTGCGTAGGGTAGATCGCGGACCCGGAGCGCGCCGGAAGTAAAATACTCTACGTTAGGTACAGCACTGGTACGGGAATCTGGAATTACGATGGATGTGTTAGAGTATGGGCTGAGGTATTTGCGTTTGGGGTCTGCTGGTGGTCTAGATGGTCTAATGTCGCGAGTTAGTCATGACGTAACTACCATCATTATGTAGAATCAGCGTTCATAGAGATACCTACGCCCTAGATTTGTGGGTGTCCCAGAATTGTCTGTCTCTCTGTCTCCGAGGCCATGACGCGCGAGATGGTTCTCGATAGAAGTCTGCAGTATGGTAGTTCTTTAGTTATGTTTTGCATGCTGTTATATAGGAGAAGGCTACATGTGACGATAATACAATAAGCAGATGTTAGGGAACACTCAAGTGCCTGAATCGATGATTGTATTGAGTCGTTAGGAAGCATAGTACCTAAATGCAACCAAGTATAATGAATTCATGAGTGGGCTCGGAGCTTCGGAGCTTCGGGCGCGGGATTATAATGATCCAGTCTCTGCGGAGGTGAACGCTAAGGATCCGTGACAGCAGATTACTGTATTGTAAGAAGAAGCCATGTGTTTGGGTGCGCTTTCTTTAGCCAAGGTAACTATACTAGAACCTCTATCAATAACTACCTAGTATAGCTAGGCTGTTAACGCGCCAGGGGGATTTCGGCAGTCTTAAGCGTACGGTTCTCTCTCCTCCCTATATACATTACTTCCTGCTTTTTCACGCTCATGGCGTTACGCGTAGGACAAACTGTCAGTGTTCATCACCGAAGATTCAAGAGAAGAGAGAAAGCTAATTGAGAAGCTGACATACACTACGGTAAAAAATTGTTTACTGTAGAATGTTACGCTAGGGGTTTACTATATAGGTGTAAACTGCCCTTGTGTATACCCGTAAATAGGTTTAAAGTAGTAGTTTACTTTTATTAAAGTAGTAGTTTACTTTTATTAAAGTAGTAGTTTACTTTAATAGTAGGGGTTTAAATTAAGTATAAAAAGTAGTTTTATTTCTATTATGCGCTATAATACCTAACTAAGACTAAAAGGGGTAGAGAAACTTAGCTTCACGCTATACGCACATATGATATAATAATAAGTCATGATATTTTAACTAATAGGAGGTGGTAATAATAGAGGTGGTGATAGAGGTGGTAGAGGTGGTGGAGGTGGTGGTAGAGGTGGTAGAGGTGGTAGAGGTGGTGAAGAAGATTAAAGAAAAGAGGGGTAAAATACTTAGATAGTTAGTAGGAAACTAGTTATTACTACGTAATACTAGTAGATTAATAGAAGTAGAAGTAAAAGTAGAATACATAGTATAGTAAACCCTATTTAGGTTTACTTCTTCTACCTAAACTACTTCTTAGTCTACTTTAGATAAATATGGCTACTGTAAACCAGTTTTGTACCGTAGTGATACAAACTCTCACCGCTAGGTCTCTTCGGTTCTGGCAACAAGCTCATTCAAGGACACACCGGGGCGTATCGTATTGCAAAAATCATCTGTCTTGTTGGCCCGCTAAGTCATCAAGTCACCTGCGAGACGTACAAAGAGGAATTTGAACTTGCGGAGCAATTAGCCGTTATGAATCATCCGCTTGGTACTATGAAGCTTATCGGCAGGGGCTATTGGTGTAAGGAACTAGAGGAGATCCCGGATCCTCCGTTGCCCCAGGCCTTACTAGATTTTATCGAAACTCTACTGATAATTGACCCTGACAAGAGACCCGTGGCGTTGGATGCGTTACGACATCCGTATCTGAAATCGATTACAGCTGTGTAGATGCAATAGAGTAGAAGTGGCTAGTTTTCAAAGGCATAGGGGGCACAGCAAAGAGCGAGGTCTGTCTTAAATTACTTGGACCTTGTATAAGAAGAGTGCGTTGCAGCCTTAGCATGATGTATGTCATGTCGCTTCGCTAATATGTTCTTTACTGACGTTGGTAGCTTGCAGTCTGCAAAGAAGGCAACAAGATCGTGAGCTGGACGAGCATAGCGACAAGCTCAAGCAGCTACTTAAGCACTATCCTAAGCAGAAGCGTTCAAAGTATTAGCTTTTAAGCAATCCTACAGACCTCTATTCGCGTTCTAATTTATTCCTAGGATGGGGTGCGCCGGGACGCCTTGGATCTACTTGAAATCCTCTATATACTGCATTTTAGGTTGTTGCCATCAGGAAGTCGAGTTGGCATCTATCTTGTTACACCAATTGATGTTGAAAACCAAGGTATAGCACGAAAGCTCCTCTTGTTACTTTCAAAGCATGCCCACAGGTTACGGGAAAATGAACTAGGTCTACTGGTACCGGTAGGTATCGGTATTTACCTAGGCTAGCTCGGCATTCCGAAAAATATCCTGCACGTCTTGCTTCACCAGGCGATCCCACCACTCCTCACTCAAATACTGCCTTGTATTCAAATTCAGTGCCCAGTCCAACTGCTCCATATTAACTGCCATCGCGCGCCCACCCGCAAGTGTGCCGTCACGCGTTTGGCCAGGCACTCGCCCACCAAGTCCATAGGCTGCATGATTGCCGAGGAAGCGGGCTATCGTTTCCGCAGAAGCCTTGAGCCCAATCGAACCGACTGCTTCTTCTTTGATGGACCCGTCGCCGCCGTGCACCTGGGGCACCTTAACATCGGATTGCGGAGTCAAGGCAGAAACGCCCAACCACTTTGTTTCCTGTACGATGCGGTCGTTGACGTGCTTGTCTGCTGCTGTTTCATACACTTCCACCTTCAAGCCGTTGAGGACATTCTTCTGTAAATAGGACATGTATGTCTCGTTGGTAAGATTCATAATGACGTAGCCCAACAACATCGTCCCATAGTTTGAGTACACACTTCTCGCGCCGGGTGTGAAGTCGAGTTGTCGGCCGTAGAGGTACTCGATGACCTGGCGTATCGTGGCAGGTGTGGACTGTCGGAGGGATTGGGCGACAGTCGTGAAGATGAGGCCAATGTTGGGCGACATGGCTTCGTCGAAGCCGGCCGTGTGGTCGAGGAGATGTTGTACGGTGATGTCCAGCGAGCGAGGGTCTGCGGGTTGGTTGTAGCCAAGGAGGGGGTAGACCCGGGTTGTCAGGTTAAGCCGGCCTGTGGAGATGAGGTGGTCTACTGCGGCATATGTGAAGGCCTTGGATACACTCGCGAGCATGAACATATCTGATGGCTGGGTGACGGCGCGGTTGCTCTCAGCCAATGTGTAGGCCCGGGAAGCCACGACGCTTCCATTGACAGCGGCGGCGACTTGGGCTTGCCGGACACCGTTCTTTTGCATAAAGTCTTGCATGACTTTTTCCAGCGCATCACTGACCGCCTTATTGTCCCTGAAGCCGGTAACATTGCCTGTGGCGTGCCAATCACGCCCTAGAGGGGTTAACTGCTCTGCGAAGATCATGACAAATTTTGAATCCGACGAGCCTGCACCAGAGATATGGATAGCGTGCATGTTCTTTTTTCTTTGTGCGGCAATCTCTGACTCCAATTGCGATGCAGTCAGATCAGTACGGATGACCCATTCTCCGACACTCGTATCCTCAAAGATAGGCGTAAGGAGGTTGTCTTCTGATATGTGAATAAAAGACGGTCTCCAAAACCTCTTCGAAGTCTCCTCAGTTTCTAACTTCTTGTAATCATACTTATTCGAGTCTGTCTGGTAATACACAACCTGTTGCTGGTTGTTCGTGTTCGCGTGCCCGAGAATGCAGTACCGACGATTGTTCTCCATGCCATACATGCTCACGGCCTTGATCACTATTGCGGAGTTCCGTGATGTTTCCATCCATGCATAAGGGTCCAGAACACCACAATCTTGGGTCCAGCCGGGAACCGAAGGTATCTGCTCCATCACTCCTACAAAAACGGAACTAGAAGGGGGCCCGGTGGCGGCGACATGTATCGAAGTATATCCTTGGCCTCTCAGTCGCTCCACCCATGAATTGAAGGCATTTTCGCTGATGCCCAGGGAAATCTCGTATGGATTGCCATCCTGCTTTGTCCAGATACCAGCATATTTTGGATCATTGGGCGAGCCATAGATGCTTAGGGAAGTTGGTCGGAATCCGTCAGCTTTTAGTTTGTCAATCCTAGCTTCTACATCGCTGCGAGTGATGTCGAAGAATACGCTCTGTTCAGCCGGTGTATTGCGTTTCGAATTTGACGAGCGCTGGTCGGTTGCAGGAAATGATGCAACGAGAGTTGATAAAGAGAGACAGGCTGTCAAAGTTGACAGTAACCAGTGTGAAGTATGCATCATGGAGATTGTTAGTATCTCAATCAAAGCAGTGTCTCTGCCCCTAATATAATATCTCAAAATGGGTCAGTTTTGATGCATGGACTGACATCTGGCTCGCGACAGGTGCGAGGCCTTTTCTCGCGCCCCCGGTTCCACAGCTTGGTAGTATGGTACTGTACATATTGTATCTCGTAGATAGTCTCGGCCTGGTTCGGTTGTACATCGGCGGCTCTGTAGTACGGGGATTAGCTCTTTTCGTTATAGAATACGGAAAACATATTATCTCAAAATCCGACGCTCCGCTTAGCTTCGCACTAAAGGCTAGCGTTAAACTAAGAACTCCTAAGCCAATAAGATCCTGCTTATATAATTATGTGTAAAGCGTTAGCAGAGCGTCTAAGGAAAAATAGGATATGTTTTAGTAGTACTCTAATTTTATAAACTTTACTCTTTATATATTTTTATTAATATTATTAACTATAGTACTACTATTATTACTAAAAGTTTTTATTTTAAAGTAGGTAAGATTCTAAATCTAATAGTATAAATTTTATCTAATATATATAAAGTAGGCGTAGTAAACTATAGCACCTATACGTGTAATTTAAAGTCCTAAGTCTAAAAGTTTTATAGCTATTAATAACCTACCTACTACGCTACTACTATGTCCTCTATAAGCCTAGTAACTATTAGAGCTATTTCCTACACGCTTTAAGATACACCTCTAGAAGTTTAAGCCTAATAGCGTGTTATAGTAGTAGATATTTAGTTATTATTAGTTAGCACTAGATATAATTATACTAGCTAGACCTGCTATAATTAGTATTATAATAGTTAGCCCTACTAAAGATATAAGAACTTTAGGGTTACTTATAAACTCCTTATCTAACTATAGCTTATTATAGTTAGATATATTACTATTACTAGGCTATTAATAAACTCCTATAAACTCCTAGAAACTCCTATGAACTCTTAGGAACTCCTATAAACTCCTAGGAACTCCTAGGAACTCCTATAAACTCCTAGGAACTCCTATAAACTCTTATAAACTCCTAGGCTAACTAGGGTTTAAGTTGCTTACTACTATAGGCTAGAAGAAGGGGAAAGTAGTAAGTAGGAGGAAGGGAGACCTAAGGATAAAGTAGAGTAAGATTACTATTACTACTGCAAACTGCGTAGCTATAGCTTAGACAGAAACTTACTAGGATAATAATAACTTACTATAGTAATTTATTAATAATATTCCTAGTATACCTCTAGTTAACCTACTATATATTATTAACTTTACTTATTAACCTATAAATATTAGTATATAAGAGGAGGTTATCTATATATCTCTATAGGTAATACTATTATATAATAGATCTTGCCTACGCTTTCCTTAGGATTAATAAGTCTAGATATTATAGAGGTTAATATATAGTAGGGGTAATATGTTATTAATTACCTATACTAGTTTTAGTAAGAGCTTAATCTTCTACGCCTATTTAATCTTAACGCGCAAGATTACACTATAGCTAATACCTTTATTAAAGCTTAGAGATAAGCAACTTATTAATATTAGCGTGTTTCCTAGAGCTATACCTTACCTAGTTAATATAAGGACTTATTCTGTAGAGCGTTATATTTTATTAAAGGTCTAGCGTAGTAACTTTACGTATGTTTTAATAGGACTAGAATAGGCTTCTAGTTAAGCTTTCTATTAGGTATTAAGGGATCCTTTATTCTAGGAGCAGGTTAGTCTTATTACTATTAATAAGTGCTATCTAGTATTATAATAGGAGACCTTTTACCTAGTATTTATATTATTTAGCTAGCTATAGACTATATTATATCTAGATATTATATAGTTTAGGTGCTCTACCACCCTTAATAACAAAGAGAAGTAGAAGGTATTACTAACTATAGGTTTCTAATCTATTAGTAACGCTATATATTAAACTGCTATTATTTAGATATTAGTAGACTAACTAGATATATTACTAGTAGTAGTACCTATCCCTTAAGGAAAGTTAATATCTTAGGATAGCCTATATTTCCTATTAGTAGACGCTGTCTATAAAGGAGTAGCAATACTATAATAGATACCTAAGATAATTATCTTTATTAATAGGATTATGTCTATCTACTTAGCTGTAGCTTAGGCTATAGATATACTATTATAGTTAAGTAATTAGTATAGCCCTTATCTAACTACTACTAGGTATAGTGTCCTTAATATTATTAGTATGTATACTGCTTAGGTAGCCTTATATAACTAGGATACTACTTACTTGTAACAATAAGGCAGAATTGCCTGCCTATTGTTCCATGCCGAGTCAGGCCTAATAAAGGCCCGACTTACTGATGTATATAGAGAACAGCTCGCCTATAGTTAGGATAGGCATGTTCTTCTTGTCCTTTCGTACAAGACCTATAGGTGTAGGAATCTTATCCTTTTCCGTACAGACGCGCACTCCTATATGCCTTTGAGTTATATAGGATACCTTTTAGATGCCCTACCTACCTAAGTCGTTACATTACAAGAAGAACATTATCCTAGCTAGTAATAGTATTTAAGAATATTGCACTTGTTGTTATTTTAAGCTACTAATTTAGTTCTAGTAGCTACCTAACCCTGTAACTCTATAGTTAGAATAGCTATTAGAACTTCTAACGACCAAAGCCTATAGGCTTGGACTTCTAGACCTATAGGTGGTGCTAGATTACCTTTAGAAAAATCGCGTCAGATTACGTTAAGGTAGAGACCTGGAGACTACCAAAAGCCTAGAGGAATTGGAGGCAAAGCTAATATCCTCCTACAACTAAACCCCCCTAAAAAGAAAAGAAAAGATTTGTTGTTCTTATTAACTACAAAATGTTAGACAAGGGTAAAGGAAGGGCCTCTAGTTTAGCTGCTTTTAAAAGCCTATTCACTAATAGAAAGAAATTAGATAAGGAAGACTTAATTGACAACGCCCTCCTTGAAGGACCCGCTTCCTATCTGTCTCTTAAGGTACCTTGTGCTCCTAGGAAATCTTAAAGCAACACCTCCCTTAAAGATAAATACATGTTAACCCTATCTAAAAAGGAGAGGTTAGAGGAACAAGTTAAGCAACTTACTAATTAGTTGTACAACACCTCCCTTTGTAAGGAGATACAGGGTACTACCTAACCTAGCTAGTCTTTAGCTTCTATATTAAACCCTATAGTGTATGCTATAAAAGCTAAGAGATAATCTAAAAAGATGCTAAATATCTCTATACTTAGTGATAGTGCTGATCCTACTTTTAGATAATAGCAAGCATCTATTTAGGATAGGCTAGAGATTAACGCTAATTACTACCCCTCTTCTAGAGCTTGGATAGCGTTAGTCTAGGGACACTGCTTAGGACTAGCAAGAGAATACTTAGAGCCACGTTACCTATCTAATTCCCTAAGCCTTTAGTTCTAAAAAGCTAAGGAAATAATTACCCTCCTTTAAACCTACTTTATTACTAGAAATAAGATAGCTAAGAGTTAGACTGTATTTAACCGCCTGTATATAACTAATATAGAGACGTTCCCTGCCTTTAAGTTATAATTCTAGAGTCTTGCTATTAGAGGAGAAGTACCCTAATTAGAGTAGTATTACTACCTCTAGATAAAGATCACACCTTCCCTAAGGATACTAAACCTCGCTTTCTAATAGAATTAGCACAATAATTTTAAGACTATAGTGGATTATCTTACTGCTTTTAACATAGAACGCCGCCTATACCCTACCTTATCTACTCCTACCTAGACTACCCTGTTATCTAGAAAAGGACTAACTCCCTTCTAATACTCTAGAAACTAGTCCTATTTAGACGCCAATTAGAAACCCTATAATAGACCTTTAATAGCTAAACCTTATGTGCCCTATTTGTAATAATAAGGCACTACCCCTTAAAATAATCAACCCCTATCCGCTATGCTAGCTACTCCTAGCGCTACTATAACAGGAATCCTAGTAACTTGCTATAATTGTAGAAAGCCTAGGCACTTCTCTAGTAACTGCCCTAAACCCCCTAGGATTTAGGCTATAGATGTAGAATAGGGTGTTAAGAATTCTAAGGAAGAAGAAACCGCTAAATTAACCAATTTAGATAGCTATTAGATGGGAAACAACAACGCCTAGGAGGATCCTCCTTCCTAGGCCTAACTTAATATAACCTGTTAAACCTTTCCTTAACTAAATTATTTGTTAGTTCCTATTTGCTTGCACGTATAACCCTGTGCCTTAATAGATCTAGTGTTCGCCTAAACGCTTTAGTGGATACTAGGGCCTAAGGTTACTTATTTCTTAATTTAAAAATTGCTTATAATATCTCTTCTACACTTAGGGTACCTATCTGAAAGCTACTATACAAGCTTACTATTAAAGGTTTCTAGGATTAGATTACCTCCCTAGTTACTTACTACATTTAGCTTTACATAATAGTTAGTGGCTAAAAGGTTTATAACTGCCCCTTTGTAATAGTGGACTTAGGTTCTTAGGATTGTATTATTAGACAACACTAGCTAAAACAGTTCTAAATCCTAATTAATACAGATAAATCTTAACTAATCTAGCCAGAGAAATATCCTCTAACCTACGACCCTGCTCCTCTAATTCTAGTACAACTCTACTAGCAAGTGCTGTCTACTCTGGTTACCCACGATATCTTGCAAAGAGACGCCCTTTGGGATTAAGAGGAGAACTAGAACTAAAACAGTCCTGGTTTAATTAATAGGATACGTGGTATACTTAAAATTCTAGCTGCTTATAGGGCTGCTACTAAACCTATTACGCTACCTACCCTAGTCTAATCGCTAACTGTTACCCTACCTGTAAAATTTTAAATTGCTACTATTTCTGCTAATGCTTTCTATTTTAATATAAAAAAATCTTCTAATAAATTCTTTACTACTAGCCTGTATAAGATCAAGCGTAGGATCTAAACCCTATCTAAACAGGATACTCTTGAACATAGCTTGTTAGATTAGAAGCTCCTATCTAACTACAACTCCTATTAGGA